AGAAATATCCACATCATCATGTTAGCCCCTGGCAGCGATTATGATGATGACATGGCCATATTAAATATTAGTCTGAGTAATATAATATTGCAAACAGATATCCCTCCACAGTCTCTCCCGCATTTGGGGTCCAAGGCTGCTTGACCTCTTGTTCTCTCTCTTTATCTTTTTTCTAACTCTATTCTTTCTTCTCTCATTTCATTGCCTGATTGGATAGATATACAGTACAGTTATTTATATAATTTCCCCTTCCCATTCATCTCCCCCTCTCACCTGGCTTGGAAAACCCGTCCAAAAGCTCCCTCTCCAATATCTCTAACATATTGGATATTATTTCGGGGATACTCGAGGGCCAGCAGCTTTGAGTTCAGCAGCAGGGGAACCCGCTGGTACATGGGGTTGGGGTGGAGTCGATCCAGCAGGAGCTCCGACGGAAGAGCACTCAGCGTCGGGGTCTCCATTGCTCTGCAGGGAGATAAACAGGGTCTGAGGGATAGAAAGGTGAAACACACAGTCAAACAAAGACAGTCTTGTCTGTATCTTACCTCTTCCGGTTTCTCCACTGCTTCCTCCGTCTGCGGCAGGCGAGGATGATGATGGTGAAGAAGACTGTGGCTGCGAGAGCTGTCAGGATGATGACGATGACGGACATGGAGTAAGCTGGAGATGATACTGTGGTCGTGGGAGGGAGACGAGGAGTCTGACGAGGGCCTGGTGACTCTGGCTTCATCCCTAACAGACACAGTTCAAATCAAGGTGCTGTGCTGCACTAGAACCAAGCATTTATTTAATTTGTACAGTGCGGAGCCCAGCAGGTACCATAGGAAAAACCAAAACCAACTGATAGTTGAAAAAATTTATTAGTAATTTGGGGCCTTGAACTACTTAATTTTATTAGGTGTCAGAGTTGCAAAGTCTGACCACAACCCAATTATGTTAGATTGACCATGACTTTCACATTTGATTCTGCGCTGTATTATGCTAAATGCACACAGCAGAAAAAGGTGGTTTAGCTAAAACAACATGATGGGACGATGTCCAGAGTAGATATCAGGACTTAGAAACCATTGAAAATAGAACAAGGGACAGAAGATAGAAGGCAGTACCTGATACCATGCTAGTCTCCCCACACTGCGGCACAGCGCAGTACTCCCAGCGTATGTTGTGATTTGAGGTGTAACACCAGGGCTTGTCGCTGATTCCTCCTGGGTTCCTACAGTAGTTATCTGAATTCTTCAACTCTGGAATCACATCCACAGAGAGGCGGTGCTGGTGGGGAACCTACAGGGCAAGACACAATGGCAGGAGGAGAAAAACAAAGAGGAAAACCATTAATAAGCAGTGTATAACCAGCTGTAAGAGGCATAGGAGAGGTTGAGTGCTCTTAAGAATTGTAGCATTTTGGACAGGAGCCCTTTACTTCATGTCCTGTCAGAAGTTTGAGTAAATGTGGGATCCAGTCTGTGCCTCCAGAAGTGTTTTTGAGTTAAACATTATTTGTTGCTGACCCTATGCTCTGGAGAGGGATAAAGAGGAAACAGACTTGTCTTAAGGGATCAGTAAAGTTTGATCAATACATTTCAAAGCTGTTGCAGACACATTTGGATGGACAGAGGTTTTACTTTTCCAAAAAAATCTCTGACAAAAAGAAAAAAACTAAGATGTCCTTTTTTTTAATTTAATAAATTTCTCAAGTTGTTTACGGACCACGGTAAGGTTACACTTTAATAGCTGCACAGGGTGTAAAATGTACTATAGTGAAGGACATTAGAGTTTGCACGGTTGGTTATGCAATACAGAGTGCCAACTCAAACACTAAACATCTGGTGTCTTCATGTGTCACGAGCTTTAGTCATCAAAAGAGCAATGGTCCAAACTATCCCGAGAGATGTGAAGTTATGAGCTGAAAAGGCTGGGTCCAACACATGAGCTGCTGTAGCTGAATGCGTGAGGCAAACTGCTCACACAGTGGATTTCCCACTGGTGCCAGAAATGTTCAAAACAACAAGTGCTCAGACCTAAACGACAACATGGGTAATTTGTCATTGCCTTCCAAAATAATCCTCTGAGCATTTCCTGATCCAGCACACCTGTCTGCAGGATGACATCATTTTTCAATGTTGCCGCAGTGGTTCACAATTCAAAAACTACTTGGTTAACTAAAACCACTTTAAGTTAAGAAAAGACTGTGGTCGTAATTAAAAGAAAAAAAAAAAAAAAACATTGTCACACCACTCGCTTACGAGGTGACCACAAGAGGTCACTTCACAGTAGCGCTGTGTATTGGCAAGAATCTGGCGATACAATGTGCTTCACAATACAATATAGTGGGTTATATTATAGTTACTGTGAGACGGTATATTGCGATATTTTTTTGTCTAGTTTTAGGAAAACTCTCATAGTATAAAAAACACACCATATGCATAATAATTTTGTTGTTTTCTAAAAAGTTTACTTTAGAACAGTAGGATCTGCATTTTTATTTATCACAGTCCCTGTAACATCTAACAGCATACTACTGTTTATATTTACAACACTGCTATCTAGTGGTTGGGGATTTAAACACAAAAATGGATACAGTGTTTTTGACAATTGAAAACAAAATTTGGCGATACAGTATGTTTTGATATTTCCCTACTTCTCAGGGAAAACAAAAATGACGGATGATTTTTTTTCTACAAACACTTCATAGCCCTTTTTATAACAAAAACAGAAGTTTTTTTGTTTTTTTACTGAAATGAAAAAAATATAAGACTAAAGAATAATTAAAAAAGGACAAATTGATGTAATAACCTGCTTGACATTAACCAGTACATATCATAGTAGGTGTGATATTAAATGAATAATAAATAATATCTTAACAGTAACTCAAATGGCATATCTTGCAAATATAACATTTCACGTGGACTAATACAGTAACTGGTGGTTACTGTGGTCACTTCTTTTATTATATTTTATGGACTTATTATGACATACACCAGCTTTCCTCCTGACTCATCAGACATATGTTTAATTAATTAATTATTATTTTAAACAGTCTCGGTGCATAAAGGCTGAATCAGAATTTGGCTGTAATATCTCTCGATGACTCAGCACAAAATATGACACTACTCACACTGTGCACACAACATGTACAGTACATGTACATGTAACTCTACGACATACATATGTGTTGAGTATGTGCTGGACATAAATGCGATTTTACTACGGAGAGTGATATGTGGGACATTAGAGTTGTGTGCTCTTTTCCTACAGGACTCATGCATGCAGAATGTTTTATATGCACTAAAAAATAAATTTGCTTAAAAACATCTGCTCTATAATGCAGAGGAGGTAAATTATGACTTTGGACCGAGCCATCGCTGAATAATCTTGTGTTATAGATTTCAGAAAAACAACACTGACAAAATATTAGGAACAGCTGTGATTCTAATTGGCCAGGTAGGCAAGTGAAAGCTACACTCCACTTTAAATTTTTAACCTACCATCAGTAATTATACAGAGTTTTCATAGCCAGGAATGATTAATGTAAGAGAGAGCTCTTCAATTAAGCAGCTTTAGGTTGGTGGGATTATTCATTTTAAAGTTGTTCCTTCAGTTTCTTGGTACATTTCCAAACACAGGTTGCAGACACAGTTTTCTCTACCTTCAGCTTCATTTTGCATAAATAGATTATGTGTCATATTTTCAGACACACATGCTCAGTCACAGATTAGTGGATGGATGACTCTTTTAACAATAACTCCAAACCCTAATTTGAAATAAACTAAGATATAGCATGTAGCAAGTAGAATATTCATTTATATAATTATATTTATATAATATGCTGACTAGTGCAAGTGAACAAAGTGGGAATTTGACATTTGGGAATTATTATTACCATAACCATCTAAATGAGTTCTACCTCATTTGGTTGAGTTCAGAATGAAAATGATGCAATCAGCTTCTCATTGCCCTCTAAGAAAACTGTTCCAGCAGATTACTTACAAAAGGAAATGAAAGCTTAGATGCTGGCCAGGAACTTAAGAAAAATCATCAAAATAATCCTACAGCATTTAGCAGCCTTTTAACTTATGTTTGGCGAGGACATCATATCACAAAATTACAGTCTCTTCATGGAAGCAGCACATGCTACATTTTCCCTACCTGTAACTTCAGTGTAGACCTGAGAAGAAAGGAAATGGCACCCTGAGCCACCCAATCTATAGGGCTACTAATATCAAGTTAAATAACATAGGGCCATTCTCAATATAATATATAATATGTTTGTTTGTGTGTGTGTGTGTGGGTGTGTGTGTATGTGTTAGTGATGGAGTCTGTGCAGCATATGCGTGTGAAAGCTAATTGCTTCCAGAGGCAGGATGTGACATGATGAGCCCCTCCCTCTCTGCTGACCTGGCACACACACACACACACACACACACACACACTGCTCAGGAGAGTAGTAACAGTTCACCCTAGCAGACCCTCTCACTGAGCAAAGCCATAAAAACATAAAGACGCTTTTGGGTCACAGGGAACGTGTGTTAGTGTGAGCCTGTGTGTGTGTGTTCTTGTGTTTGCACTTGTAAGCACTTTTGTGTGTTTTTCTGTTTCTGGTTAGAGGTCAGGAACATTTGATATAAAACTGAACATCCACACACAATAATATCAGTTACACTTCAGTCATTTACTGGTGTAAATCTGCAGTAAACGTAGACACTTGGATTTATAAATACAGGAATTAGTTGTGCTGGACCTAGAAATGTTGTCAACACTGTTGCCCTATATTCTTTTTACAACCTTTTTTTGGTGACTGTGACTCACAAGTCAGTATAAAGCCATTAACATGCAAACAATTCTCAAAAGACATATTTTGTTCCACTGCATGAGGACGTTCCTATAAGGAAAACTGCAATTATTAAACAAACCCTATTAACATGTAGTTATTTTGTATCTGCACTCCATATTTTAATTGTATTTATATTGTGCAGTGATGTGACATTGTGATTTTAGAAACACACACACATACACACAATCCACAATACCTGCTGACTCCATGACTGACACAGTATCCCAGACCTCGTCACATTTATGCTGCCTTGGTAGAAACGGCCTCTGTCATTGTAACATGTTGCTGTTGATACCAAACACAGTGTGAGATTAGATGACTGGATACAAATAGATTAATGCTGCATTTAAATGCTTTCACACTTACTTGTAATTTGATCTCGCTTTATGTCTGAAATGTAGAAAAGAACATATTAAAATATGCTTAAATAGTCAGAGGAAGTACAGCTATTAAGTAATCTGAATACAAATATATAACATGGAGAAAACAATACAGCACTGGAAGTCTATTCAGTACAGTTAAAATGATATTACACAGCAAACCTACACATTACTATGACTAGAAACTTTAAACCATCCAGCAAACACATGATTTACACACCTGCAGCTGTATATGTTGGCTCAGCTAGTTAGACCATCTTAATGACCTCATCGGTATCAGTAACCTGCAGTCTAGCAGGCTAGGCTTTATTTGGCCCTCAGCATACGAGTAACTGCACCCAGCCAACTTTTCTTTTACGTAACACTCCATTTCCTCTCTGCTTTCATGCTAGATTGCTGCACTCAGGCTGTTTATGCAGTACAGAATTAACTGATCGTAGATTTAGCAGATACTAGAAAGAAGATTAATTTGTTGGTTGCAACACTGTATACTGTAAGAAGTATACAAACTCATGCATATAAACCATTTGCCAACTAACTCCTAGGAAAAGTCCATGAAAGTTTGACTATCCAGCATGAAAATAGCAGGATCTGTGCGTGGGAAATAGAAGAAATTTTGCAGTATAGTCTGCTTGTTTTATGAAACACCACTCAAAACTGTCTCAATTAGGGATATCCTACCTACAAAAGGGACATGTGTGCAAGCATCAGGGTCTGTGCGAAGACTTGGTAAGGCCTGACAGTTGGGCAGCAGAGAAGTGGGAGTGTGGGACCCAGTGACAGAGCTGAAGAGGCCAGGCTGGACTAAACTGCTGCCCTGTAGTACCAACCACTCCTTATGGCAGTACAGCTCCTTCACTGCCAGGCAGTGTTCCCTGTTTTGTAAAGGAAAGAAATAGATGATGATGCTCACATTCATTCATATACATTTCTAATGTAGTGAAAAAATTAAACAAAGAGACACATTTAGCTACCTGCAGACAGGTTTGGGTGCCGGTCCTAACCCTGATGGGTTGCAGGCAGGGAAGGAGGAGTGGCACAGCAATGAGCGGACTGCGGGGCTACACAGCATACTGAGTCCTTCCAGCTCCGTCCACCAACTCTGAACCAGGTACTCCTGCATGTCCTCTGGGTCCGATAGGGAGGAGTTAAAGAAAACCAGCAAATCGTCTTGCAGGATGGAGCGGCACACCTCTCCACGATATGCACTGCAGTAGCCTGCGACGCCCTTGTAAAGCCTGTGGGAGAAAAGGCGCATATGCATCCATACACATACAACTATAAGATTTGAATGCCTGAAAAGGAGTTCAAAATGTGCATGTATCTTTAATTCTTTACATTTCGTATTAGTTTATGCTATATATTGTCAGGCTACAGCAGTAGCCTAACTTTATGAAGTGCCCCATATGGCTCATATTGGGGTTGATGGCTGTTTTCTGAGGTGTTGAAGGTGTGAAGACATTTAGTAAGGAAAAAAACTTAAAAAAATGAGTCTCGTCTGGCAATACTTTTTCTTATTTATCTGCGTGGAGAATAAGCAGGTATGACATTCTTTTTATAAGTGACACGGGTTCTTCCATCCATTACCTAAACCCCCTTATCCATTGCAAGTCACAATGTATCTAAACTAGATCTGATATAATATAAATACATTCCAGTTACTATGTGTAGACCTTACGGGCAAGGAAATATGAATGGGTAATGACTTTATTACTAGACCAGTTATTGTCTAATTACCTAGATGTACATGAAATGGTGACTTGTGTTAGCAATGGACATTTACAGCAGTTACCCCTCAACACACAGGGAAGAAAGTTAGCCAAGGCACTGCCCTTCATCTGTAATAATATTGGCTGGACCTATTTGCAATTTCAGTGGTTGTGCATTTTACAAATAAAAACTGTGAGAAATAGATGCTTATTATAGGTCCCCATAGCAATCAGTCTTTTACTGCTTTGTGTGGTGTGTGCACTAAAAAAAGTCTACTGAAATATCCTCTTTAAAATGATCCAGATGTGAATCATGAGACAGGTTGTAGAAGATTCATATGAGATTAAACTGTCTGTCTGCCTGTTGGACCTCCATGCTGCCTCTAGATTAAACATAATCCTGCCTATCTGTTTCCCACTCCGTGTGCCCTCTTGTTTTCCAGCTCTCGTGCCTGTTCCGTCTTCCAGCATGGACACGCTCCACATTTCATTCTGTCTGCCTCACATCCATGGTCTTTCTGCCTGCCTGTCTGTCTGACAGCGTTCACTCCACGTCTCTCTCTTTCTGTTGTATACTGCAACGCTTACAAAATCCAGATGTCGCCTCTTAGGGAGGTTGGTTGCTTCGGCAGAGTTCAAGTCAAACCACCAAACTTAAATCTGACCTGTAAATCTATCAACCCTATCATCCCACCATGTCCCCCTTCTCTTTACTTTCTCTCTATGACTCCCTCTCACTGCTTCAGGCCCAGATGTTGGAATTTAATGTAAGATCGAACCATTAAGCCTGATCCTGTTTTCTGTCTACAACATGTTTCTTTCTTCATTTTTACCTCAGAAATTCTGGAATCCCAAGGCCAACGTTTTCTCTTTCTCTTATACCTTTCTCTCCCTCTCACTATCTCTCTCTCCCTCTGCAGTTACGTGGTCCAGATGTGGTGACTGGGGTTGTATTGTGGTTCAGCAAAGTTCAAATTCAACTCACACCATATGGGTGACTAAGAGACTGGCTCCCTATTGGTTTTGCAGGTTTACTGACAGAGCCAAAATGCATAATTGTCTTCAGCAGACCCAAAGGAAGCAATAGCACTTAGTCACTTCAAATACATATGGTTATGGTGCGCATATAAAATTTAGTGACATGCAGAAGGGGGTTCTACAGCGCTGAAACACTAAGGCACAGAGCATTTCTCTTACCTCCACTCTATGGGGAAGTGGCAATATCCAGAAGATGTTGGTTGAAGAAGCATAAGAAAGAGGAAAGGAGACAAAAGAGGAGGAAATAAGACAAAAATCAGTCTCAGTAGGAAGAGAAAAGCAACCATGGTGCTTCTCTCACCAACTCATAGCTAGCTGTGAGAGACAACCAGGTGGAGGGACAGTGTGTGTGGTCAGGGAGGAGGGGATGTGGGTGTTTTTTTAGGTGACTATGGTCATGGGGTGTGTGGGGCAGTGTGGTTGAGGTGTCAACCAAATGGGGGGTACAACAAACAGCTGAAGCCACACAAAACACTACTTATATAACTGACAGCTACCTCGAGACAAAGTGACTCCCTAATACACACAGTCGTAAGCGCTATCAGTGATTTTGTAATGTGTGATATCTTAGCATTGAATGGAAATGAAAATGTGTCACTACCTGCGACAGTGACTCTAGCAGTTGCCTTGACAGTGTTGGCTCCGGCACTGTGTCTGTTGGAAGCCAGACATGTATACAGAGCTGGCTTGTTCACTGTCACTTTAAGAACAGACAGGATCACCTCTCCCACCAAAGTGTCTTCGACCGATGCACCTGAGATCTGGAAAAAAAGAAATGACACTTAAAAATATACACCATAATAATATTCTCTTATAAGATGAAAATGATGCCCCCTTTCAATAAAGAAAGATTTGTTTTTGTCCACTGGGAGGCAGCAGAACAACCTGAAAAGACAACACTGACACACTGCATTTTATTATAAAGTTGTTATGCCAAATGTGTTAACAATTTAAACATGCAAGAGACGCAAAGCAACATCAGCATTCATTTGGAGTTGTATTTACATTCTTATAGCTCTGGATTGGACCAACTTCTGAGGGAAATATCTGGCTCTTTAGCTAATAGCTCTGTTATGTTTACCAGCTAGCTGCTGACTTATGCGTTTGGTGCTGGACAGGCAGTGTATAGTGGGTTTTCAGAGAGACTGTTAAGACTGAATCAAAACATTGGAAAACCAAATGCTCCATAGGGCTGAGTGGTGCTGCGGAATTGGAGGATATTTATTTGTGGGTTCGTCACTACATTTGATCCCATTCCCATTGCACAAAGTCATGTGACCAGTTGTTCATGTAAAAATACTGCTCTCAGATCACTCAAAAGATACCATAGAGTATGTTGGTCAAGCTGCATTGTAAATGATTCCATGGAGGTAGAGCAGCATGTCTGAAAGCACACTCTCCAAGCTCAGTATTTATTATCGGAACCTGTAGCTGAAGCCACTCTGCAGTTCCACATAACCAGGTGAGAATTTAGTTAAAAATAAAAACCAGAAATTACTCTGTCCTCTGGCAAAAGGTAGCATGTATGTCCCAGGATGATTATGTGTTAGGCAGATGATAGCAATAACGCAAAATTGAGTTTAGTACTTTAAGATATTGTGGTTGTGTGAAAGCATTTGGTAGCAGAATGAGTAGAACAGATTAATGAAATTAAAACATGTTCTCTGTCTCTGTCCCAAGATTTAATATGTGAAGTGTTAATACACTGTTTATAATATAGTCTCATGGGTGTTGAGTTGATAAAATTAAGTTCCCGGCAATAATATAACCACTTGTAATATTTAAGAACTTTTAAAAATGCCCTGGTATTCACACTGGGCAGAAGTAGCCTGATAAAATGTGTTTGTTGTTTTAGGTTCCTGTATTCACACTAACATATATATATAAATGATATATGTGAGAATCTCTGGTGTGTGTGTGTGTGTGTGTGTGTGTGTGTGTCAAGGTGCTGATGTGATACATGTCTATATTTGAAGTTGTGTCTGACACCTCCTGTTTTTAGGACAAGCTTGATCCAGCCCCGCTGAAATTAATGACCTCAACAAGCTGCCAGAAAAGCAGCTCACACAGTCATTTTAATCAGCACACACACACAGAGACATACTATTTACAAGCATTATGGGCCTGTAATCACTTTGTAGCTAGCACCCAAGACTATTAAATAGCCAGACATGTATGTCTGCCCGCAGTGGCACGCAGAAAAAAATGTCTGCTGCCTGGTTAGAAAAAAGTCCTGTTTAACATTGTATTAGGTACTAGTTGGTATAATTTTTAGCAGGTTTCAAGCAGGATCAATCAATAAAGGCACATGTGGTTACAGAGTGGGTGGTCGTAATTATGACACAAATCAAAAACAAGACCAGCTAAAATCTAAATAGATCATTGTTCCTTTTAGGTTCGATATGTTAACTTCTCTTGAGTCTACAGGAAGTGGAAAACCCCTGGTGTTTTACTGAAGTTTCATACTTGGGCTTTTGCAAAGAAAAAAAAGTCATGCATTTGGTACAAGGTGGATAATGTCTTCTCCTGCTGGCCTTAAAAAAGAAAAACATTGCATGCTACAACTGCAAATGTGATTAAAACCAAACTGTCACAATGATTCTTATGTCAGAGCATAATCATTAGATTATTAGACTTATCATATCAGTTGGAGACATTCTTGGTCACCAAGTGTGTCAACAGCTATATTTCCCTTGCATGGCTGAGCTGTTGGAACATCTAGCCAGAGTATTTAGATCACAAATCAGCAGTTAACACAAACCATTCAGCACTGTAAGACTTTAAGAACCTTTGCGCTCACTCCCTTAAAAAAATCCAACCCAATTAAAGCAGATAACACTGTGTATCATTGGCTAAATGGAAGGCAATCTCTTCAATCCCCTGTCACTATAATGAGAATTCCTCTGCTGTTTATACTGCTGTTTATATCACTGATCCCACAGCCATCTTTGAGTTCATTGACTCAGTGTGTGTGTGTATGTGTGTGTGTGTGTGAGGGAGAGAGACAGAAAGAGAGACAGAGAGGGCGAGGGATAGGTGGGTAATTTCTTGTATGTTTGCATACCGATATACTGTATTTGTGTGTGGGTCTGTGTTCGTAGTTTCCTGTTTTCTTTAGGTACCCTTGCTCATGCACATCAAGTATTTTACTTCTCTGGTTTGATCTTAATTGTTTTCTCAAGCCACATGGACAGCAGATAGACAACAAATCAATAACACCACTGGGGATGTGCAGCTTTATTAGCAATGCAGATACTGTATGTCTGCCACCAAATAAGAGATCCACTGGAACTCTGGTTCAAGTAATTTATTTGCTTCCAAGTATTGTCCATCACTGCAGTTAACTAGCCCTGTGTCTGTTCTTTGGATTTGCCAGCTAGCTAGGTACCAGTTTCCTGCCAATTTAAGTAGACAATGCTGCACTGTGCAGGTTACAAACATTAGCATTAGTATACTAACTATATTAGTTAGTACAATTGTATTCTTTAGAGCACCTGAGTATAGTTTACCCCAGTACCTCAGAGCTATGCTACAGTATGTGAAGATGAAGGTTTCATGAATAAAAGTATTTTAACAGACTTCAATGCATGTTGGCTTTCTTGGTTATCTGCTCTGTTGTTGTCACAGCTTTCCCATTATGTAAGGCTCCACGACTGACAATGTGTCACAATGTCAGCTACGTGATAAAGTTTCTCTAATGCTAGCTGTGTTGAGTGACATTTGAGCCAAACTCAACTACTGCAAAGGAGACAAAAATATTCCTGGAGAGATCACAAGAATTTATGAGAGACCAGGGGGACCGGCATGGTTATGGATAGATGGATGGATGGATGGATGGATAGATAGATAGATGGATGGATGGATGGATAGATGGATAGATGGATGGATAGAGCACGGAGCTACAACCATAAACAACACACCATAAACTTTGGATGCAAAGATTAAGTGGAGACCCGGATCATTTAGAAACCCATATTGGTCAAATACTTTCACACAATGAAACCTGAGCACTCACAGTATTGCCATTTTCCAGCCAGGTGATGGTAGGGATTGGATTTCCCGTGGCGTTACACTCCAGGGAAATCTGGCTGCCATAGGCTACCCTCTTCTCCTTAGGAACCCGCAGGATTCGTGCTGGTGCTGAACACACATACACAGACAGCGTAGACACATAAACTCACATATACTGCAACCAAATAATTATATTCCACTTAAACCTTTTAAGAGAATATGTACAAGCCACGCATGGGTTGAAGAGAAACCACATTTAAATACATACCTTGTACCTCTATAGTGACAGGCTTTGAAAAGGCCAAACCAAAGCTATTCCTGGCCACACAGCGATACTGGCCTGCATCCTCTTTCTGTATGTTATGGATCTTCAGTGCACCATAGTCGAGAATGGTAACACGGTCAGTGATCTGGGAGAGATGAGATGATTTGTTTTTCCCCTTTTAAAGACTGATTTTTTTAACCATATTACAACATTGTTTTTATCTACTACTGTGGGACACTAGAAACCAGAAAAAAATTATGCTAATATACAGTCTTGATACCTTTGCCATTCGCACCGTTGCTCTACTGATTAGACAAACGCTGCATTACTCTCAGTAAATGATTATCTTACTCAATTTAAAAAAAGTGAACATGTAAATTGTCCAACAACTTCCTGTTTTTGTATGTGTAAAAAAAATAAATAAATAAAAAGCATACTTTGATAAGCTCATCATCTTTGAGCCAGGTGACATCTGGTTTGGGGTTGCCGAGGGTAACACAGGGCAACACTGCTTTGGATTCTACCAGAAGGGTTACATTGGTAGGATGGCGTTTGATCTGTGGCTCTGATTGAGGGACAGACAAGACAGGAGAGAGATAAGATCCATCTCAATACTACTGTGAGTGTGGAATTGTACCATGTACACATTCTTTAAATAAATTGAGTTAGAGTTCAAGATCAAGATTGACTAAACTCCAGCCCTCCATCCTTAAAAGGAAGCAGACATACTCATCTTTAGCTGCAGTGCTCCACAGCTCTTGGCCGGCTCTCCGATGCCGTTACTGGCGATGCAGCAGTACTCGCCGTTGTCTGACTCTCTTACATGAGGGATGATTAGCATCTGTCCCTGTTCCTTGGTTATGTACCGGGGGTCATAATACCTGATGGGACAAAAAGGAGGGTGCGAAGCAAGAGTTACATTGTGAGCAGAAGGGACGAATTGACTTTTTAAAAATATTTAACTTTTTAATTGTCTTAAGCTTTAGAAATGTACTCTTTCATTTTACCAATTTTAATGTTAGCCTTGCAATTTGCTACTGTTAGCCAATAGTAGCTAATGTTGACGTCACTAATATTCAAAATTGCTTTATTGTTAGCCTTTTGATTGCCAAAATAAGCAGCATATTTCACCAACTTTTAATGATTTAGCTAGCCTTGTAATTGCCTAAGTTAGAAGCTAAGATAAGCTAATGGTACATACAGATATTACATAGTTTTTTTGGCCATAATATTACAACGTATATAACAATGTATCATATCATTTTAATGTTATCCTTGTAATTACAGATATTTAATTTTTTTTTTTCCTTTTTTGCTAATGTAAGCCAATAGTAGCTAATGGTGATGTTACTAACATTTCTTTTAAATGCCGGAATGTTAACCTTATTTATATATATTTAAAATAAGCAGCTAATGTCAGTGGTTAGCCCTGTAACGTCATACAGTACTTAACAGCTATTGTTACTAACTTAGGTTTCAGATGGCAACAGAAGGCTATTTTAATGAAAGGATTACCCAAAACAATTTGACTGTTTATATATGTGTAATATTACCTTATTGGAAAAGAGAATTATTTTATTATTTCACAGATTACCATTTGAACTCTGTATATATCTTAATGATCCTTCAGTACATCCTGTAGATGCTGTAAGAGGTGAAGGTGTTTAACTCACATGATTGGATGGTTATTCTTGGTCCAAGTGATTTCAGCGGGGGGACGGGACTCCACCTCACAGATGAAGGTGGCATTGTGATCTAGCAGTACATCCACTGTCTCTAATAAGGTGATGATTCGAGGCGCTAAGCGATAAAGATAGGAAGAAAACATGAAGACATTCGTTACGAAACAAGAAAGTCCACTGCAGTATTTGGAAAAAGGGACATGTGGAAAAAGAAATGAACATGCCAGAATGATGATCTTAGACTTTATGAACAGGGAATATCCTGCAAACCTGCAAAATGTAATCGCTAATGCACACATTTTTGTAGCATGGGAGATAGGGTTGAAAATGTAACATCCTGTGTCTTTATAACACATACCAGTCTCACTCAACAGCTGCATCTTTTCAGCCAAATTATTTGACATTCTTGGCATTCCTATTTTAGATAGACTCATCTGTTTCAGTCACTCAGTGACCAGCTATGACCGTTGACTACTGGGATCAGATCAGAGGTTTTGAGGTCGTTTTTTTTTTTACAGCTTTGACCTGAGAAGGATGACCTCCAGGAGAAGAGAAATCTGTTTAAATGTGAAATTATATCTCAAGGAATTTGGGATTTTGCAACTTGATATAAAGTATTGAGAAATAGGAAAGAAGAAAAGTATTAGACAGAAAAGAGGATGACACAGAAGAAAAGACATAGTGTTGAACTCAACTTGAGGTTTGTTAGAAATTTTTTTCTTCTTTTTATTCAAGCAGAAGTTGAAGCAAGGACATTTTAATTTAAGGTTCAAGGATACGCTCCATCCCCTGTGCACGCACTGTTCTCTACTATCTTGTTTCAACAGATGGTCTCTGTTAAAATGAAAGTGGGTAAGTTACCAATTCTGTATACACTGAATAACAAATTATTAGAACCACCTGTACTTTTTCATGATATGAATCAGGTGAATCCACAGTAAAGATGTGATCAATATTTATTTCATCCATTTAGCCTGCTTCAATCGTGAAAGGCAGAAAAGGAGAAGAGGGATTACTTTCAGACAAGTGAGACAAGGGAAAAGGGAAAAGCAACTCAGTATTAGTAAGGTAGTCTTATGTTTGTTTTTTTACTCTGGGTGAATATATTGAGGAGAAGAAAATAAGAGGGGGAGTAAAAACAAAGAAAAGACATGTTGAAAGGGAAAAGGAGATGGTAGAAGATAGTTGTAGCACTGTGGTGAGGCAGCAACTGTTTATGTGTGGATTCAGATCAGAGACATCAGGGTTGCTTTAAACTTTGTATGAACTAAGGAGAGGAAGAGGCAAAATAGAAAACAGAGGAGAGAAGAAAAGGAAAGAAAAGAGGAGGGAGAAAAATAAAGGAGAATAAAGAAAAGGATTATGGTTTAAAGGACATTATGCTTGTTTTGTCTCTTGAGAAACAAAGATTCCTCAATAACATTGCTGGAAGGACCAGCCCACATTCACAACCCCAACCCCAGGTCACTGCTGCTGTTTGACTCATGAATGGGCGATGGAAACAATGCTACTGTAAATCAAACTGAAACCATGACATGAGGTTAAACCAGTTTCAGCTAAGGTCAAAGAAAGGAGAAATATCTCACCATGTGCTTTGTTAAGTTATTTCATGTATGCAGTTTAAAATCGTATTTTTAGCCATTCCGGTTAGCATGGCTTAATGGGTGGCAACACTGGTCTGTTTGTTGGTCAGTCAGTCCATCATTTTACCTAAATATCTCAACAACTATTGGATGGATTGCAATGATTTTGTACAGATATCCATGGTACCCCAGAGGATGGATCCTACTGACTTTTGTGATCCCCTGACTTTTCCTCTAGCATCACAATGAGGTTTACATTTGTGGGTTTCTTCTGTGAAATGTGTCAACAACTATTGGATACATTTTAATTTATGTTCCCCTCAAGATGAATTTAAATAACCTTGGTGATGACCCTCTGACTTTTCATGTAGTGGCATCATCATAGCAAAATCTGACACTTTGGTTTATGACTAAATACAATAATTAAAAACTAATTTACTGTACTTACTGAAAGCCAGAAAATACCTCTATCTCTTCCAAAAAGAAAATTCAATTTTGTTGATTGTATTTGCAGGACTTTATAGTTGTACCTTGGTTCTTGAGTGGGTTTGTTGCTGAATGTGTGTTTTTTTCCTCACCATGTAACTTTTGCCAAAATTACATCTGAACAGATGGACAACATCTGAAGACTAAAGGTTTCTCTGTGGCTGTTGTTTAACCACATGACTCATTATTTAGAGCACACGAGAGCCTCATCGGATTTGACCCTTTCGAAGAGGTGCTTGTTATGAAACCCCACTTGGACAGCAGAAGTGATACAGTGTTGTTAAGGCCTTCAGTGAGGGCCGGTCACATCTGGCCTCTACTGTATGTATTACAAAAACCTACTTGATCCGAACCAAGTGCCTCTCATTATCACGCTTTGTGTGTGTCCACACCAGAGCTTAAAATCATAAAGCTGCTAGTGTGCAGGATAGAATTGAAAACATAATTTTTGCTAGTTTGCTGCACTTAACCAATGTGTGTAGAGCTAGAAATGTATTTTCTTGTAAAATCCTCAGATATTAAAGCCATTTTGTCAAAGCTATCATTGTGTGGTTACCTATTAGCTCCACCAATTTTGCTCATTCAACAAATGCCATTTATGTCTGGTTTGCTTTCTCTGTAATGACCACTGAATAAATCTTTCTCACTCAGTTTTTATTCCATCTTATGTTTTATTTCCTTCAGTTTCCATTAGATCTTTGTCAACTCCATTTCTTTCATATAATAGGGACCTTCTTTAGAGCTTGTAACTTATAACATCCGTTGGTTCCTCTGGTGTTTGCTTTGATTTGTAGTTTATCCTCTAGGTTTTTTCCGTACTTTGAGTCATATTGTTAACAGTATTCTCTCTGACTCTATCATGCAGACCAGATACATATTTTTTTTAAACTTGATACTTTCATTGTGGTTGAACGAGAACAAACACAAAAATAGTCTGCAAGGGAGTCATCCATTGTTTGTAGTGGTTTAGTTCAAACAGACATGCTGTGCAAGATTTAAAAACACCCTCTTTAATGTATCATGCTGACTGCGTAAGTGAATGCACAAGTTATCTAGATTCATCCTGCATATTTGACAACAGTTGAGTAAGTCCAAAAGAAATTGTTCTTTTGAAAAAATAAATGTAATCAACGTCTGCATAAGGTGTAATATAGTTTTGGTTTATGCTGTCACCAGTTAATCGACATCCATTATTTGTTTGCTCACACTAGTTTCAAATGAAATCCAACTCAGCTAATAAAAGCAAGCTCAGCTCAGCCCAGCCGAACACATGAAAGTGAATCCTTTTGTGACATCCATCTCAGCTTTGCTCAACTGACCCACGCCTCAAAACCACAACACAGAGGCAATAATAAATAAAAATAATAATATAATGCATTTTTACAGCACTTGTCAATCCACAGTTGCTAAACATTTCATTTGCAGCCACAGCTTGTAAAACTGTGCTCAATCAAGTCATGGGCAATTAAACATAATCTTTAAAAGGCAAACCAAATGTTTGGCCGCTTCATTTACGTTCAGTCTCACAAATCTTAAAAACCAACCCAGTGCATTTGATGTTGAAATAATAGTTTAACATTATCTCATTCTCACATCTCATCTCTGTGAGGAACAAATAGTACTGTTCTGTCAAAAGTTAAAAACTACTGCTGACAAATGAACACATAACCTGTTTGTATAGCCAATACATTAAAATGAATACAAAAATGTGACCTTGTGGTTTTTTAGGGCAGACTTTCATCCTAAGCATATAGCGACTCACAATCTTTACCATACAATACACTCCATTATCTTTGCATACTGAGTAGAATTGGGACCAAGTCATTGTTTGGCAAGTCACAGTGTCCTGAAACTTGACTGGGTGCTGTCAGATTGGTTCAAACAAAGTGGATCTGGGGATTTAAGTGTCAATTTGCTCAAAATGAATAGCATCAAGGTTAGTTGATTCAGGGAATTAACTGATTCATGGCACTAAGTAAGATTTACTGCCAGTAATTGCAAAGTATCAAGTATTTTCAAGGTCAAAAAGCTCAAGTCCAAATGAAGTCACGAGTCACTGGTGTTAAAGTCCAAGTTGAGTCTTTTTTGTCATGTCGAGTCCAAAGTTATCAAATTTGTGACTCTCATCTGTGTAATGTCATTCAAGTCCACACCTCTGGTACTGATGATATTGTGGATGTCAAAATTTACACCATGGATTTCATCTTGTATGATAACAGTAGTAGCTATAGAAATAATTCTTCTAGCTTTGACAGTATCTTGAGATAATGAAACATTCTCTGTGTTAAAGAGTTTTTGGTAGAATTTCCATTTCCTAATAGCATTATAGACAGTTAAATCATTGTTCTCACTCTATGTAAGTTTTAGGTAACAGGATGCCTTTAGTGACTTGGACCAACAAGAAAGATGCCAAGTCTAACCCTACACCTCATCAGCCCAACCTAGCTCACCAGCTACAGCATGTACCCTGGCAGAATGTGACAGCATCTACACCACCTGTCTCTCTGAGCTGATCTGCTGCATGCACTGTATATCTGCGCTTATAAAACATGTATTGTATGTCAATGGTCTGCTCTGCAGGCCTGTGCATGTGACCCTAAAAGTGTGTCAGCATTTGATATGGTACCCATCTCACATGTCCTGAAATCCAGAGGCATTGGCTGAACTTGCTCTAGTCAAAAGTCTTTAACTTAACGAGATGTCTATTTTGTCATATGGCAAGTGTAGAATATATGGGAGGTTAGCTACAGCCATTGAAGTTGATGAAAGATTCAGATTTGTAGAACTCAGAGGCTTTAAAAAAAGTACAGAAATAATTGTCTTTTGGTGCCCACTTTCTGATCATGTAGGCACAGTACGGCAGTGGTGGAGATAAATCATATGGAAATCTGGTGTATTAGAGACAGCGGAGGGAATAGCCAGCTCCTTACCACCTTTACAACACCCTGCAGAGAGGATATGCCAGAGTGTAGGAAGGATATAGATTTAGTCACATTTACACTATGTAGTCCTATAAACACCTTCTCCTTTTCCCTACAGGATGGGGTGGAAAACAGGTGATGTGCGTGCAATGTACTGTATGTAGGGAAATATTCTCTCTAAAAGCTTTTACATAAGAATGATGCTCTCCATTATTTCTTTTTTCCTTACTTGTACCTATCCATTGTAGACTGTTGATCCTTATCCCATATATTTACTCATGCACACATTATGTGTAATGCACATTATAAATATAGGGCTATATTGTACAATTTTCCTTTTTCCTTCTTCTGTTTTTTGTATCTTCTGTTTACATTTTGTGATGATAACTGTTATTATGTAATTAATGAAATTATTTTACACAAGACAGTTTTTACATTTCTATGAATTAAATAAGCTATACAGAATTCACACTGTTTTCATGTGTACAATACCTGAATGTTGCTCGAGATCTTTTGGCAACCTATACTGAAAAACACACTCTTAAAAGCTCTTTGAGTGCAAGCATATGGAAACGTCACATACCTCTCTGTATCCCGTAACTTGAGGTGACCAGAGCCAGCAGAAAGACTGAAATGGCTTCCACAATCTTCATCCTGGCTTTATGATCTGCCTCGATAAAGCTTTTTGACAGGCTCACTATACGCTGGTTGTTAGATTCCCATTGCAGGTAAGGAGACGTTCTTGTTGGTTGTCACTTTGTGTGTTCCTTCACTGTGTGCGTCTGCGTGTGTTGTAGCCAGGGACAGCCATGAGCTCTGTGCTCAACAAGGACCAGCTCAGTCACTCTGTGTATGTGTGTGTGTGTTTGGTGATGGACAGTGGCAGCTGCTAGCTGTCCTCATGAACAGTCACTCAGGTTCTGGAGCCACACTGAAAGCTCCAAAGGCTCCAGTGCTGGAGAGTCATCCTCATTCACTGTAATCAACAACAGTGTCAGCCCACTGTTTATTGAACGACACAAGCTAAATTCAAGGTTCTGCTTTGTAGTGCCATGTGAGTTGAAATAAATAATTTGTGTCAGTAAAGCTACAACAGAAACAGAAATAAAAGCATAGAAACAGCAAAAATTGTCATAAGTTGTGACAGATACTTTAATATAAAACGTATATATACATAGGACACAAAGAGGACAAACATTAAAGCCACTAGGAAGAGTCACATCACCCATTAAAAGGAGACAAGAGAAGTTACCAGATAAGAGAACTTTCTATTTTCAGAAAGAGCAGAGTGTCAGGACAGCAGGTCACAATATACTGTATCAATATACTGTGTGTCTGTATCTTCTCAACATGCAGTCGTATATGCAGATAGACAACATTAACAATACATGTAAAGCATGTAACACATACTGTAGAATATCCGTACACATTATACGTTTTACTATACAAACAAATGTACACAGGCACATTCCAACTCGCCACATACTGTTACATTTTAACACACACACACACACACACACACACAGTCCAGGAGGCAGCCTTTGTGCCCACCTGTTGCCTGCCAGCCTGTATGTCCTGTTTTATTTTAGGAAAGGAATGGCATTTCAGTTTGTTTGCTCCTTATCCATTCTGCTTTGGATGGCGTCAACTATTGTATTCCCCCAGCAGACACAGTTAGCCGTACACGTTGTTGTTGTGGGTTTTTTTTAATTAACCGTGGCCTTCACAGAGGTAAAAGCGATGAGGTTGTTAATGCAGTTTTGTGCAACAGTATTAGGCTTCAGTTTCATATGATGGACAATACCATCACTTGTGATGGTGAGGCTGCCATGAGTGATGCCGTTGTCTTTAGTCTGGTCATGTAACAAAGGTAGGAGGTGTAGTTTCTTACCTCTTTTAATGTCCCTTTCTCTTCATCACATTTACATTAAGCCCCTCCATCTTCACAACTTAGATAAAACAACATACTGCATGTGCAAAAGCAGACCAAATACAGTACATGATTCGAGCAGTTCTTTCATTGGTGACACAGCACACCACTAGGTGATGCTGTCAAGCAGGGTAATTTGTACAGCATGGCAGAATATGGTATCATTGTTGTTGTTGTTTTTTTTTTTAAGTTAAGGTAATACAATACTGATATATCTCAAACACATCCAAAGAACCAATACCAGAACAAAAGGAAAAGCTTTACATTGTACTTTGCCAAGGACTATCTAATAAGCAGTATAAATCTGGACACCTCTGGACAACAGTACTGATACTGTGACTCCCTCTGCTGACACAGAAATGAAGTGCATCTGAACTTAAATCACAACAGTAAACCAAATCATGTGTAAACATGATTTATTTGTTTGAGGGACTGGAAAGTCAAATACCTTTTTTTTTTTTCAAATATTGGATACAGCCTGTGTTGCTGTCCTGGATTACCATGGATCCAACTGCATGGAGCTTACAGCAAAATAGCTGCACCAGGCTTAACCCCAATGTGTTTGCATTACATTAATCCATTTATCCTGTTGAAGTAAACAGATGGTTTTTTTTTGAGAGAGTGTAAACACTTAGGCATGGTTACACTTAAATGTCCCATGTGACCCTAGTAATCTTAATAACATCAGGACAAGCTTTGGTTAATAACACATGTTTGTGCAAATAAAAATCTGTTGTTCATACTGCTTACTTTCAAAGCTCCTGCTTCAGGGAGGAGGTGTGCAAAAACGAAATGTACTCTCTGGTTAGATGACATATTGGGACATTTTATTATTATGTAACAAAAGCAAGGACTCTCCTAAAATCTCCCCCACCCGATCAAGAATCTGAAGCCCCATTTGTTTCATTGGAGCTGCTCTGTAACCCACATTTTTGTTAATATGGGGAAAGAAAGATTATCACAAAATTATCTGTTCTTCATACAATTAATAATAACTTTATTTTTATAGCACTTTATCCAGTGCTTCCCCCCAAAAAATAAAACCAATAAATGTATAGAGCAACAAAATACAAATAATTCAAAATATAAATAAATAAGTTTAAAATAAGGAACAATTTAATGTAGAATGTAAAATGCAGAAAAGCACAGAATGAAACAGTTTAAAGCTCCAGAATGATCAATTGGCAGAAATGAAATAAAATATTCATAGGTATGTTTTAATTAGTGTATAATGACATGAATTGGAATTGTTGCGTTTTTGTTACCTTAGAATGAGCTCTTTTTCATCTACAGATGCTGCAGATCGCCCTCCATGGAGTCTTCGATGCTGAATTGACATGTTTTTGGTTAGCCTCAAGTTTGGTGTTGTGGCCATCGCCATGACATTTTGACGGAGCCAGCACAGTCACTGTAAAGATTTAAGAAAAGGAGTAATGTGCTAATTTCTCTTGGTTGTCGTTAGAACTATCACAGCAGTGTTATGAATGAGCTGAAGCTGTCTTACAGCTTTTTAGGGAAGACTATTCAAGACACCGTTACAATAGCCCATCCTCCTGTAAATAAAGGCATGAATGAGTTTCTCTAAATCTTGTCTGGACATGAGACCTTTAACTCTTCTTATTTGTTTGTTTATAGCTCCAAAATCTAACTGAGCAATAACTTTTATTCTTGCCAAAGTCTTGCCAAATTTATGTCATCTTTATTTAATTCAAGGAAATGTATTTGCTCTAAACATCGATAGAGAGCGTCTAAGGGACCACATATTTACTTAGCTCTTTCACTAAGTGACTGAGTGTCATCATCTGTGAAAAGCAATGTTATGGTCATGTATGATTTGACACATCCTAGAGGGAGCATGTTCAGGTTGAATTATGTCGGCCCAACAATTGATCCCTGGGGGGCTCCACATTAAACTGACTGCAACAGATGATTTATTACACATGACAAATCAGATCATATGTCTATGTGTATGTCTTTGTCTATCAGACGAACTTCAACCAATCAAGAAGACGAATACCCCAAGGCTTGAAAAATAATCATGCACATGCGTAGATGATGGTCTGCCATATAAGGGTGCTAACTGATGCTGTGGTCAAGGGCACCTCACCAGTACACCAAATAACTTCCAGTTACACTTGTTGGGGCTGCCCAAAGAATCGAGACAAGCACTTGTTCCCATACCGGGAGTTGA